ATAAATTTTTATTGCTACTTGTAATTTGAGTTTCTAAAGTTTTGATCTTTTATAAGGATGAGATATTTTAATAAAAATTCTATCTCTTCTATATATTGATTATCTAAATTGAATTACTTTTTAATGTATATATAAATTAATAATTTATTCAAATGTATATATGAAGTAATTATTAAAATATTAAATGAATATTCTAATTTCACAAAAAAATAAACATAAAACAAAAAATTTTATTACATTATAATATGAATGATTATTCTAATATATGAATTAACTAATTTTATTTTATTAAAAAATAATCATAAAATAAAAATATTAATTATATTATAATATGAATTATCATTACAATTTTCAAAGGTTATTATAAAGTCAAATCAAATATTGATTTGAATTTTAAATCAATCATAATTAATCAGATCAGATCAGATTAGACCATAACCAGATCAGAAACAATCAGATCAGATCAGATCCGATCATATCAGATCCAATCAGATGAGATCAGATCAGATCCAATCAGATCAATTCAGATCACATCCGATCAAAACTATAAAAATCAGATCAGATCAGAAAAAATAAATTGAACTCCTACTTTCATCCATTTCTTCCTGCTTCTTTTAACGTTAAACTTCAAAATTCCAAGTAAAAAGAACGGAGCCTAAAAGTTACACTTGTCATCTCAAATAAGATTCCACTTTAGTGTATTCCATTTGCTACGGACGATTACTAATAAAAGTGAACATTTATCAAACTCAATATTTAGGAATAATGGATTCTAATTAAATGTGTACTCGTATTTCCTATCATTTTTTTCATTTAAGAGTCCGTTTGGTATATGAAATTGATGGAATTAGAATTGAATTAGAAGTTGAAATTCTACGGAATTGATTTGGATAAAATTGTATCCTTCAAATCCAATTCATTTTTGGCACTACCAATTTCAAATTCATATATTTTTGTGCTACCAAATAGCAGAATTTGAATAGTTATCCTCAATTCTAATTCTATAGCTTGAATTTCATATACCAAACGGAGCCTAAATGAATTTCAATCATACAACTTTTACCTTCTCTATCCCGAAAAATAGTTTTCTCTTTTTTCATGGACGTTCTACAAGATAATTTCAACTCACTTTATTTTTCTTTATAGTAATGAATACGTAGCTCAAATGAATAATTTTATAAATTAAATTTTAACCATGCATTTTACATTTTAATTATTTGTTTCTAAATTACAAAAATCAAAATAGGTAATGTTTTTTTAAGTGAGAAAGTAAATATGCGCAATTCGAGCAAATGCAATGGCGAGTATATGGGATGCCTTGCCACGCCACATCAGCACAAATGAGATGGAAAATGAATTTGACACGCGTGGCTGTCCAATTTCACCATGCATGGAGAGGTAGGAGCGTGGCATTCCATCTTTTATTTATAAAATAAATAAAAGATAATTTGTAATGATTAAAACACATCAAAAATATATGGAGTAGGTAACAAAAAAAATTTAATAATTAAAATACATAAAAAAATTATTTATTTGAGTAAATAGAAATATTTTCATGATTAAAATAAAAATATGGAGTAGGTAACAAAAACATTTTTAATAATAAAATACATAAAAAAATTTATTTATTTGAGTAAATAGAAATATTTTCATGATTAAAATATATAGGTAATATAATTTTTAATAATTCAAATATGGAAAAAATATGAAAAAAAAGTGATGAAAAAAATGACTTGCCACTGCAAGGCATGCCACTCCACTCACGTGTCACTCGTTGACTGGACTGTTTTTTATTGGTTGAAATGTTCCACGTCACCGTGTGGCATTTCATTTTTGCCTCACCATTGTTCATGCTCTAACGTAGGGGTGAGCAAGTACCGAACCGATACCGAAATTTCTCGAAAAAACCGAGAATACCGAACCGAAAAATACCGAACCGAAAAAGTACCGAGAAGGAACCGAACCGTACCGAACCGAATGGTCGGTACGGTATTTGGGAACGGTACGAGGTGACGTCCCATACCGAAAATCCCGAACCGAACATATATACAAAAATATTATAAAAATAATACCCCGGAGTAATATTTTTCACTAAATAATAATTTTTTAAAAAAATTGGTTCAAGTTCTATTATGTGTAAATTATACTTTTATTTGAGTTTTAGTTTTTGTGTATGAACATAAAAGTATTCACAAAGATTCGAAATACTCCTTTGTTGTCGTTCATTTTTTTAGTTTATGAAATATAAACTAAGTGTTGATACGCATCTCTTGCATTTAAATATTCATTTTTTTAATTTGTCATGTTTTTTATTTAAATTCACTTTTAATTTTCAAAAATAAAGGGGCGTTGTTAAATTTTAAGGTGTTAAGTAGATATGTATATTCATCCTGATTTGTACCGAAACCGATACCGAACCATCCCGAACCATATCGAACCGATATTTTGGGATCGGGATCGGTACGGAGTAAAATCCCATACCGAACCGAAATATTTGGTATGGTATCGGTACGAGCTAAATACCGTATCATACCGTACCATGCTCTCCCCTACTCTAACGGTTGGTGTCTTGGCATTGTACCAAACATGAAATCTCATCTACTCCGTATGTATGTAACACACTCCAAAACAAAATACCTCCTCTGTCCAACATAGATCTTTTCAGACAGTATTCACGGGGTCAAACTTTACCCACTTTCGATTAGCGTTATCATTTTGGATAAAATTTTAATGGTGTAGATTAATTCTGAAAATGCTAACGCTAAAGGTTACCGTTAGATAGCCTTTTCAAAATGTCAACGTTAATATCTAACGCTGATGCCAAACGGAGCCTTAATGAAAAAAGAGTTCCACTCACGAAAATGATACTTTCTCCCTCCTTAAAAATTGCCACTTTTTTGGTCAAATTATGCATCTTTTAACCACGAATTATGAAAAAAGTATATTTAGTTAAAATGAAAATTTAGGAAAATTGTGTTTATTTTAAAATATATTTTTTAAATATCAATCTTTTATAATATTTAATTATATTACACTATATTTAGTTTGTGGTCAAAGAGTGTCACAATTTGACAAAAACAGTCAAACTGCAGCAATCTTTTAAGGACGGAGGGAGTGCACAAGATGGACGTGGCCGTTTTATTTTTGGGAACGAGATTAGTAAGAAGCTCTTAAAATACATTATTCATTCTATTCTTTTTTAAGTTAAACGATCATTAGAATATCTTTTTTATAAACCTAAAAATACATGAATATAGACATAAATTATACAAAGCTAGTATTTATATTCATTATTCATTTTTTAATATATAAAGAAAACCGTAATGGTTATTTAAAAATAATAGATGGAGTAGGTTTTTTGACCAATTTTGGTCTCAAAAATTACTATGCTCTACAAAAAAATCTTTAATGATGGTTGTAGGCCTTCTTTTAAATATTACTTCATGTGTAGACATAATCACTTATAGCCTTACAGGTAAAATCCTAATTATTTTATAATATATTTAGTAAGGTTTAAACTCGTGATTTTTTAATAAATAAGAGTTTGATATAATTCAAGCTTGTGATATAATTATAATGGGAATATAACGGCTTATTGAATTGAAATTTATGAACGGCTAAAACTCTTGTTTGGCAAATGGAGTTTGAGGTTGGCGGTTGGTTTCTAAAAGCCAATTTATTCCTTTTATACCCTTTAGATTTTTCTAAATGCTCCTTTGCTGTTGAACAAAAAAAAGGATAGAAAAAGTGTTTGTACTTTGAACGAAATTGAACGAAAATGAGGTCTTTAAACACAATAAGCTGAGTTTACCTAACATTTTTCACAAAGAGCTAACAAAAATTATCGGTCAAATAAGACCAATATCCGCTGATATAAACACCCAACAACCAATTTCATACAAGGCTAATTTCCGGTTTCACCCTTAATCACTTCACTATTGTTGGTTTGGATATGATCAAAAACCCTTTCAATTTACTACGGAGTATTCAATAGTGCTTAGTAATTTTTGTTTGCATGTATTTTTAATTAGTCATTTGATAAAATAAAATATTATTGTCACTTTTTATTTTATAGAACGTTTCATATAATTTTTAAATACTACCTCCGTCTCATTGTCTTTGTCCAGTTTTGACTTTTGGAACTGTTCATCTAAGCACTTTGACTCATCAATTTCTCTCAATGTGTAAGCCTAAAAATAGTCATGTGTGATCTTGTTTGATTCGTCTTAACATATAAATTATTAATATATGATTTTTATAATTTTTTAATATACAAATTACAAGATAAAATGGATTAAAGAAGTGCATTGGATGGTGTGCCAAAAGTTAAGTGGACAAAGAGAGTGGGACGGAGGGAGTATGTATATTTACTTTTCATTTTTATAACCATTTGTAAATCAAATCATTTAATTAAAGAAAATACGCGACTTGAACGTGAAATGAAAGAGAAAGAATTTTTAATACTTGCGTCATTATCAATATACCCATCAGTCATTACCAACTAATCCATTTTTTCTAAGTAATCACAGTGAGTGCAGAAAACCTTATATAATCCGTACTTTGTGTCACAATCATTCCAATTAGGCTGTAGTCCTCGTCTACCTTTTTAAATTATTTATCTCATTTTTTCTTTTTAGACTATCTTAAAATAAGTTTTGCATTACGTATAGGAGCTAGAAGAAATTAAATAAGTGATTTATGTTACTAGAATTTAAATAACTATTCCTCAGACACAACCACAAGCTTGAGTTTTTGGTTGAGTTGCTTCATTGACATGATATCGAAGCCTCGTTGGCTAAGAGGTCACATGTTCGAAACTCAGCGCCACTCAGTTTAAAAAAATAAGATTTCACGTGCAAGGCTCGAAAAAAACTATTTCTGCACGTGAGGAGGCGCTTGAGCTTTTGGTTGAATTGGTTCCAATTGACAATTTATATTGAATCTCTTTCCTCTCTAAATATGTTAACTAAATAATTTCACTTTTCTTAAATTACGTAAAAGTAGTAATATTAGCACTATATATGTGCAGTTTGCTGCCTACATGTGTTACACAACCAAACAATTAAAGACATATTTATATAAACTGTGTTTATTTGATCAATTAAGGAGAGAAGAAAAAAGTCTGAGATGGGGCGTACACTTCCTCACGTAGTAGAAGACTGCCATGGCCTCCTCAAGCTCTACAGCGACGGCTCAGTTTTCCGGTCCAAAGACGTCCTCATGCACGTCCCCTCTCCGGTTCACGACGACTCTTCCGTCGCCTGGAAAGATAACCTCTTCGACGGCGCCCGCGGCCTCCACCTCCGCATTTACCGGCCGCGTTCCCCGGCGGAGGCGGCGGCCGCCGCCCTCCCCGTCGTGATCTTCTTCCACGGCGGCGGGTTCTGCTTCGGGTCCCGCACGTGGCCTAACAGCCACGCCGCATGCCTCCGCCTCTGCTCCGGCCTCCGGGCCATCGTCCTGGCTCCGGACTACCGGCTGGCGCCGGAGAACAGGCTTCCGGCGGCCGCCGACGATGCTTTTCGCGCCGTGAAGTGGCTCGCCGGCCGGGAGGGAGTTCTGGGGGAAGGGGTTGACTTTGGCCGGGTTTTCGTGGTGGGAGACTCCTCCGGCGGAAACTTGGCTCACCATTTGGCGGTTCGGCTAAGAGCCGGCTCGCCGGAGCTGGCTCCGGTCCGAGTCCGTGGCTATGTGATGTTGGCTCCCTTTTTTGGCGGGACCGTGAGAACCAAGTCCGAAGCCGAAGGTCCACCGGAACCAAGTTTGAATATCCAAATTCTCGACAGGTAAGCAAAATTAAATTTAAAAGTGTGAATTTTTGAAATGGTCATTTCTAACAAAATGTACGTTTTTGCAAATCTGTACTCAATCAGCAATATCTCTCAATAGTCTTTTTAATAAGTATTTTACTTAAATCTAACCTCAAAAAGCAATAATTACCAACATACTCCCTCCGTCCTAAATTGTTCTTCCCACTCACTTTTTACCCGATCAAATTTAAATCACTTTCTTTACCTATTTTCATTAGATATTAGATAAAATAATATAGTCTTGTCACCACTTGTTTTGTAGAGCTTTTGATGTAGTTTTTAAATATATAAATTTTATTTTTTAATTTTACACCTACAATTAAATAAGTTGAATTGAAAATAAAGTCGGTCAAACCTCGTAAAATGAACCGGGAAGAACATTATAGGACGGAGGGAGTAGTATTTTATAATTGAGATTTATTCTCGTGATAGTCCTTCGACAAAAGTTCCGTTATATCGCTATTAATTGTAAGACATTTGGATATTTTCAATCATCTAAGTTCAGAATAAGCTTTTTAAAATGGACCCCCTACATATCAGAAAAGTCAATTTTAAAAGTTTATTCTAAATTTAGATGGTGGAAATTACCTACTCCCTCCATTCTACAAAACCCTTCCGGTTTTGACTTTGGGAAAAATAAGAAAAATGTAATTTTGATTGACTTTCTAATTTTGCCTCTGATGTGATGGGAAAAAGTAAGATGTGATTGTTTGGTTATAAGTGAAAAAGTATGATGTGATAGGTAGGGTATGAAAAAGTAGGGGTAAAAGTGGTTTTTTAATAGAAAGTGGAAGTGTTTTGTGGAAAGCAAAAAAACGAAGGAGGAAGAGTTTTGTGGAACGGAGGGAATAATAAATACCTTCAAAGTAACAATCATATTGCAAAAATTTTGTCGGAATACTTTTTCGGGAATAAATTTCAATTGTAAAGTACTATGTATATAATTGTTGATATTTGAGGATTGATTTGGAAAAAACACTTTATTAGAAAAGACTATTTTGAGAATTATTGCTTGCTGATGACTAATTTGGAAAAATACTTTTAGAAAGGATTTGCTATTTTGAAAATTCACCTAGGGTCCGTTTGGTACACGGAATTGGAATTGAATTAAGAGTTTAAATTCTATGAAGTTGAATTGGATATATTTGAATTCTCCAATTCCAATTCAAATTTGGCACTACCATTTCCAAATTCATTATATTTTTGTGCTACCAAACAGTAGAATTAAAATTATCGTCTCCAATTCTAATTCCATAGTTTGAATTCCATGTTCCAAACGGAGTCTTAGGCTCTGTTAGGCACACAGAATTCAAACTAAGGAATCGGGGACAATAATTCAAATTCTGTTGTTTGGTAGCACAAAAATTTGTGGATTTGAAATTGGTAGTGCCAAAATGAATTGGAATTGGAGAATTCAATTTTATCCAAACCAATTCCATAGATTTTCATTTTCTCAATTTAATTCCAATTTCGTCAATTTTGTACCAAACGGACCTTTAATTTTATTTTTTTTAAAAATAAGTTATAGAGTACTCCTGGGAAGTATGTACTGTATATATTATCCAATGTCTTGCAAAATTATGAAGTCATTAGTTAGTTTCATTATGTGATCTCACAAAAATAAATTATGAAGTCATTAGTTAGTGTCATTGTCTGACAAAAAGTGGGGAAAAGTACCCCGTAAAACTTATTCTAACGTGAGAATTAGACATCAAAATTTGACACCCCGTAAAACTTATTTAAACGGTTTAATATCATACTCCCTCCGTCCCAAATTATTTGCAACGTTTGTTTTTTCAGCAGTTGCGGGAACTTTTGTTTATTTCTATGTTTTCATTGGTTATTTGATAAAATAAAATATTCTTGACACATCTTATTCGAAGAACTTTTCATAGTTTTTTGATATGTAAATTTTATTTTTTATTTCTATACCAATATGTAAATAAAATGAATTGAAAAAATTTGATATTTTGCCTCGGAAATACAAATATGGCAAATATTTAGGAACAAAGGGAGTAAAATAATTTTACTAGATTTAACCCGTCAAGAATATAATGATTAGTCATACAAAAAAGTCTCAATATAATTGTTAATGAATGTGATTCTTCCAAGTTGACCAATCATTTTTACGCCCAAAGTTTTCTTTTTCATTCGTCTGAAGACTGAAAGTAAGTTTTTTTTGGTATTTCGCTTCTTTCCATGATGAGAAACGAATAATAAGTGGCTTAATGGCTTATAGCCTTATACTACCTCGTCCCAGAGTATTTTTCCACTTTCATTTTTACAGATCATCCAATACACTTCTTTAATTCATTTTATCTTGTAATGTGTATATTAAAAAATTATAGAAATTATATATTAATAATCTATATGTTAAGACAAATCAAACAAGATCACACATGACTATATTTAGGCTTACACATTGAGAGAATTTGATGAGTCAAAATGCTTAGATGAATAGTTCCAAAAGTCAAAACTGGACGAATACTCCGGGACGGAGGGAGTAATATACTTCCTCTGTCCCAAATTAAATTACTTGTTTAATATTTACACGGTTAAATTTTATTCACTTTCTCTTTCTATTTTCATTAGTAATTTGACAAAATAATGTAGTCATGTCACCACTAGTTTTGTAGATCTTCTGATATATTTTTTAAATATGTGATTTTTATTTGTTTAATTCTACACTATTTTTCAAATAAAATTATTTGAAACTAACTCCAGTCAAATATCATAAATCGAAACACACAATTTAAATTGCGACAGAGAGACTATTAATTTTTAAACGGCTAGTTTCAGTGGTCACCCTCTAAAGAGGGTATAACCTATCAACGTCGCCAAAAAGAACGACTCTTATTCACAAAAGTGGAGTCAATTTTAAAAATTTAATTTTTGACAACATAAATCTATCAAAAGTCTCTAAAAGAAAAGCGCGTTAAAGACATTTTCAAAAGAGAACAAAGACTTGCCCTCAACAAAACTCCAACTATTCCAACAAAAAAATGTATGGTTCCGCAAAAATAATTGAACCACACCAAATCTATTTAAAAATTTCAAAGTGAACATATATATTAAGGAGTAATGTATTTTAAAATACAACAATCCCTATATATGGAGTGTTACTTCATTAAGTAATAAGTATTTTCAAAATTTGGTTCAAGTTTTATATCTCGTTTAATCAGACAATTACTTCCATGTATCCTCAATTTTCTGGTAATAAATATCAGGTTTTACACTATTTGAAATGTACTTCGGAGTATTCTCAATATTCTAATAAGAGTTCTAAAATGCTACTTCGAGTATTAAGAATCATTCAATTTATTTTTTTAAATAAAAGAATCATGTAAAAAGGCGACACGCCAAATTTTTTATTTTTCTTAATAAAAAGATGAGTTCTGTCTTCGAGTTGAGTACCCCCTTAGATCTGGCCAAACAGTCACTGATCGAGAGGTAGTTAACACTCGAAGAAATCTACCTAACTAAATAAATGTAAACATTGAAAAGATGACTTATAGTTCCAAACGAAAAAAACATATACTCGTAGCATAAAACGAACTTCATGCTCTCTTCAGCTTAGAGAAAAAGATTAAAGTATGGGTAAAAAATTGAAAATATATCAAAAGAGGAGTTCTAAGTTTTTTCCTGAAGTAGGAGTTAAAATACATTTACATTATCAATCATGATCATGTACAATGTCACATTACCACAGTGTGAACTCATATTTAGGGAATAAAAACATAAAATTCCTATTTAGAGTGATTTCTTTTCAACTTATTCTTACTCCGGGGTATTACTTACTCTCTCCGTCCAAGAATAAACTTTTCAGTTATTATTATGGTATCTCGATAACTTATGTTTGTTTGTATATATATTTTCATCAATCATTTGATAAAATAAAATATTCATGTCATATCTTATTTTGTAAAACTTTTGATCTAGTTTTGAACAATGTAATTTTTACTTTTTATGATATATTCCATGCGTCCAACAATAAATTTCTCGTTAGTATTACGGGATCTCTATAACTTATGTTTGTTTGCATAATTTCGTTAATCTTTTAATAACATAAAATATTTTTGTTACATATTGTTTGGTAGAATTTTTGATGTACTTTTGAGTCATGTAACCTTTACTTTTTTAGGATATACCAATTTGTAAATAAAATTTTTTTTAAAAAGATAATATTTTGCACGTTGTTCAAAATGGGAAGTTTATTATCGGACGGAGGGATTATCAATTTGCAAATAAAATAATTTTGAAAAAGATAAGATTTTTCACGTTGTTCAAAATGAGAAGTTTATTTTTTGACAGAGAAAATATTAGTTTTCCTTATTTGAATAAGTTCAAATCAGATCAACAAGATTAGATCAAATCAGAAATATATAACTATATTCAAGTCAGATCAAACTAGATCAAATTAGAACTTATTCTAATCAGAATCATTTATACCAGCCAAAGAGAACGGGACTTTAGAGAATTGAGAAACTAAAAATAAATTACTCCGTATTACTCTGTAAATAGCTGGCAATAAATAAAATTCTATATATGTTTATGTAAATGAAATAAAATGGGCGGAGCCAGGAATTTCAGAGAGTGGGGGCAAGAAAAAAATATAGATAAAATAAAATAAAATGAAATATATTGTTAATATTAAAAGTCATAACATAATAGTTGCCAAAAAACATAACATGTTATTAAAAAATGTAGAAATTAAAAATTAAAGTTAAAAAAGCTGTAGAAATAAAAAGATAAAAAAGTAAAAAAACTCTAGGTCTTGAGGTCTAATACGGAGTAGAAATAATAGAATTAAAGACAAAAACCTAAAAACCTAAAGATTACTCGGTAAAACCTAAAAACATCAAGATAAAAAAAACTACAGAAATAAAAATAATTAAGGGTAAAAACCTGAGGATACGCAGCAGGTTGAGATATGTGAGAGATGAGTGGCTGAGAATTGGAGATGACCGGATATGTTTTTTTTTTTTTTGCAAAACGACGTCGTTTTGCGTTTTGGGAAAAAAAAATCTGGGGATACGCAGCAGGCCAGCAGCTCTTTAAGGTCTAATTTCGTTGATAATTTAATTTAATTGAGATGGGCACCACACTCCCCCACGTAGTAGAAGACCACCTCGGCCTCGTCAAGCTCTACAGCGACGGCACGGTTTTCCGGCCGGAAGACGTCCTCGCCCGCGTCCCGTCTCCGGTCTACGACGACTCTCCCGTCGCCTGGAATGATACCCTTTTCGACGGCTCCCACGGCCTCCACCTCCGCATCTACCGGCCGCGCTCCGCGGCGGCCGCCGCCGCCCTCCCCGTCGTGTTCTTCTTCCACGGCGGAGGGTTCTGCATCGGGTCCCGCGCGTGGCCTAACCACCACGCCACCTGCGTCCGCCTCTGCTCCGACCTCCGGGCGGTGGTTCTGGCTCCGGACTACAGGCTGGCGCCGGAGCACAGGCTCCCTGCGGCGGCGGAAGACGCTTTCAGCGCCTTGATGTGGCTCGCCGGCCAGGCACGGGATCGGAGCCGGGAGGGGGTGCTGGGGGAAGGGGTCGACTTTGGCAGGGTTTTCGTCGTGGGGTACGCCCCTGGCGGAAACATGGCCCACCATCTGGCGGTTCGGCTAGGAGCCGGGTCGCTGGAACTGGCTCCGGTCCGAGTCCGTGGCTATGTGATGTTGGCTCCCTTTTTTGGGGGGACCGCGAGAACCAAGTCTGAATCCGAAGGTCCACCGGAACCACGTTTGAATCTCCAAACTATCGACAGGTGAGCAAATTAAAAATAAATTTCTCGCTGACGTTTCTCAATTTTCTAATTCAATTATTTAAAAAAAAAAAAAAGAAGAAGAATAAGTGGCATAAATACATCCCCTAATTTGTGATATGCAATTGAAGTCGGTGGGAGTGTGTTCGGGTCCGGGCGAGATTTACCGAGGGTAAGTAAGATAAAAATCGCTAATTTTATGAACGGACCATTGAGGGCATGGAGTTTCAATGTTACTTTTAAGAAAGGAATAACACGGGAATTGAAGGGTATAATAGCACATCAACATCGCAAAAAAGAATGACTATATTCACAAAAAAGTGAAACAAACAGTTGGACAAGAGAAAAAATGGATGAAAAATTATTTTCTCCTATATTTCTATGCAGTTGAAGCAATGATAATTAAGTAAAAACTAAATAAAGATTATACGGTATGTTACTTAAAAATTACTCCGTAGTATTTTGAAAATATTTTACGAAATAAATCTAATAAGGTTATTTTCTTTATCAATATCTATCTAATATTTCGTATCAGTTTTATTTAATTTATTATCAAATGTTATTAATTTGATTACAAAAAATCAAATTTGGACAAACACACAGAGACAGAAATAGTAAATTAAAGTGAGTATTAGTTACTTCTAAATTGTATTAGGAACTTCGTACTTTTAAAATAATGGAAAAATTTACATGAATACTCCAAAAAAATGTATAAATATATATTACATTGTGTATTCTTTTATCCTTTTACATTGCATACACCAAAAAATTTACATCAATGCTCTAAAAAATAAAAGTGTGCAAAGTTAGCACACTTTTGCAAAACTTTAAAGCTGGCAGACTAAAAGTTCTTTAAAAGTCGCACACGGGGATTTCAACATTTGGTTTCTAGAATAAATCAATTTGTAACAAAAACTTATACGGAGTATCTCGAAGATTTATAATTAGATTTTGTATCAATATAAGTGTGAGATTGATTATTTATATTGACACAAAATATCAGCACAAAATCTTGTGATCGTACTGAAATTTTGTGTCAGTGTAAGTATCAAAATATAAATGTAAATTTTGGTGCGTGGTACATTTTGGGATACAATATTTGCGTACATTTACCATCATTATATTGGTCTTTTGATACGGTGTATTATTAACTTTAAATGATGGCCAACCGTACAAGATCCTCTCCCCTTGCCTTTTCCCAAAGTTAGAGAATAGATAAAGGGCCTGTTTGAGAATAGCTTTAGCGATTAGCGTTAGCGTTTTCAAAAAGCTATCTACGGACAGCTTTTAGCGTTAGCGTTTTCAAATTAATCTGCACCGTCAAAATTTTATCCTAAACGCTGATGCTAATCGCTAACGCTATTCCCAAACAGGCCCAAATACTCCCTCCGTCCCACTCTCTTTGTCCACTTACCTTTTGACACACCATCCAATGTACTTCTTTAATCCATTTTATCTTGTAATTTGTATATTAAAAAATTATAGAAATTATATATTAATAATCTATATGTTAAGACAAATCAAATAAGATCACACATGACTATATTTAGGCTTACACATTGAGAGAATATGATGAGTCAAAGTGCTTAGATGAACAGTTTCAAAAGTCAAATGTGGACAAAGAGAGTGGGACGGAGGTAGTAGAATGTAAAGTTGAATAAAATAAACTTGTTCTATATATATTTATTCCACACACGTTTTTATAATCATGTTACATTAATTCCAGATTTAACTGTACAGATGGCATATGTATGTAAAACAAGATATGACATGATTATATAATTTTTTTTAAAAGCATTAATATTTTCCTAAAAATATTATGTACCAAATTGCATTTTCCTAAAGATGCAAATTCATGTACCACGACGATAGGTTTTGGAGAATGGCGTTGCCGCCGGGGCAAAACACGGACCACCCGATGGCGAACCCGTTCGGGCCCGAAAGCCCGAGCCTGGAGAGAGTGAGACTTGACCCGATCCTGGTGATGGTCGGGGGCAGAGAGATAGTGAAGGATCGGGTGGAAAAGTATGTGATAAAAATGAAAAGCTTGAAGAAGGAAGTTGACTTTGTTGTGTTCCAAGGGGAGTACCATGGCTTCTTCATCAACGACCCCTTCTCCGACGTCGGGGATCTTGTCGTCGAAAAAATCATGGATTTCATGTCAAAAGTGTAATGCTCCGTTTGGTACATAAAATTTAAGTCGTGGAATTAGAGTTTGGGACTACGATTCCTATTCAATTTCAATTCCGACAATTCTATTTATTAAACGAGCCCTAATTCTATTTGTGTTGTATGGAAAGAAAGTCTACGTGCATGTGCATGGAAAATAAAAACGAATGCATGAAAAACTCGATTGGGTCGTATTATGGGTTTTCAATAGTTATGTGGTTTTTTTAAGAGATTCGTAGATTGATTGCATATAATAAAATGTTAAGTAGTGTATTATTTTCAAAGGTTTTCAAAGATGTGTGTTTTTGTTGTTGTCAAAAGTGATTTAGGCATTGTTTGGGTCACGGGAGAAAATGAGAAGAAAGAAAATAGAAATGAAAGACAATGAAGAGAAAATAGTAGGAAAATAGATGTTGATTGGATGGGTAGAAAAAGAAAAGTAAAGAGAAGAAAAAAATGATATTGTAAAATTACATCTTTATCCTATTATTTTTTTTGAAAGAGCACACAACATATCAAAAAGGGAGGGCAAAAAAGTAATTTTATACATGTTCTCTCATATGCTTCCCCTTTCTCCTCTATTTAGAAGAGAAGATATTTAGCTTCACTTTTTAATCTCCTTTCACTTCTCTCCATGTCTGCCCATCAAACAAAACAAAAAAAAACACATTGAAATATGTATTTTAATCTCCCTTCTCACTTTTTCTTTCTCTTTATTTACTCTCCAACAAACACACACTTAGAGCCTGTTTTTTGAGCTAAAAAATATAGAGTAGTTGGATATTGTTTTTAAAAAAAAACTAGAAAAACTAGAAAAAATTAAAATAAATTAGAAGTTAAAAGATCGTAGAAATATAGAACACTGCTCAAGATCGCAGCCAAAATCAAATTCGTCCAATCTTCTGCTCGACACTGGCCGACAACACCAGAATAATACGGCCAAGACCTTGCCGGCATTCTCCCTCTGCAGACCGAACACCAATTGGCGACCCTTCATTTCAAGCGATGGAAAAAACCATACAATCTTCAAAACGCTATAATAGTTTGACACTTCGTATGTCAAGAATATACTTCCTCCGTCCCACTATATTTGTCCACTTTCATTTTTGCACACCATCCAATACACTTCTTTAATCCATTTTATCTTGTAATTTGTATATTAAAACATTATAGAAATTATATATTAATAATCTATATGTTAAGACAAATTAAACAAGATCACGCATGACTATATTTAAGCTTACACATTGAGAGAATTTGATGAGTCAAAGTGCTTAGATGAACAGTTCCAAAAGTCAAAAGTGGACGAATATAGCAGGACGGAGATAGTATATCTTAAAACTAGTGCAAAAAAATATAGACTCCACATATATTTTTATAATTTATTATCATAGTTTGTAAAATTTGACAAAATAATTTAAATTTAAAAATTATTTTAAGAGTTAGAGTATAATGATTATTGTCAAAATACTTAAAATAATCCCAATTTTACCCGGTCTTTCAAAAATAATCTCATCTTTCACTGTGATGCATAATAATCCCAACTTTACTTAAATTTGCCAGTTTTGGGTCGCCGTTAAGTTTCTAACGGAGGGTTAACGGAAATGCCCGTTTTAGGCAACAAAATGAAAGTTGGGATTATTTTTGATGAATTTTCATTTTTTTTATTTTTTTTAAATTTTTCATTTAAATTTTTTAAACTACTTTCTACCTCCATTATCATTTCTTTTTCCTTTTTTAAAGATTAATCTTAGTTTAAAAAATAAGAATAATAGATATAAAAATGAAAAAAAAATGAGAAATGTAACTAAAATGATACAAAAATAATAAAATAAATAAGGTAATCAATGGAAACTAACTTAAAATTGGTAAAAGTAAAAAAAAAATATATGGGTGGGTTTTTATATTTTACGCATTATACAAAGTATTAACATATCACTTCTTATTTTTTAGAAAAAATTATCTACGATAATTCTAACTTTACCGGACGGCTTGTTCTTTTAAAAAATAAGTAGTACATTAAGACTACGTATAGCGTGTAAAATGTTAAAACCCACCACTCCGTATATATTTATTTTATTTTTTACCAGTTTCTGTTTAATTTATATTGATTACATTATTTATTTGATTAATTTTGTATAGTTTTAGTTATTTTTCTCATTTTCATTATGTTTATATCTATTTTTTCTAAGGTAAGAATAATCTTTAAAAAAGAAAAATAAATGGAGGTTGAAAGTAATTCAAAAAATTTAAATAAAAATTTCAAAAAAAAATTAAAAAACAAAAATTTATCAAAAAATAATCCCAACTTTCATTTTGTTGCCTAAAACGGACATTTCCGTTAACCCTTCGTTAGAAACTTAACGGCGACCCAAAATTGGAAAATTTCAATAAAGCTGGGATTATTATGCATCACAGTGAAAGATGTGATTATTTTTGAAAGATCGGATAAAGTTGGGATTATTTTGGATAATTTTTTCAAAAAAAAACACAATATTTTTTTGGCCTCCTCGAATAGAAACAAGAACTCCATATGTAGCTTCTTTCATATCCAGCCTCCCTCTTCTTCTCCCTCCGTTTCCTTTGAATTTTCCCCCCATTCAATTTCCAATCTCCGGGGAGAAGGTTTTTCTGGTTTTTCATACCCTGTAGAAAACAACTAAGAAAACCTTTCTTTCCCGGAAGAACTAGCTTGAAATCTACACTCTGTCGTTCTCCTCCGGTTTTCAGGTAACTTCTCTGCATCAATCGATAATCATTTGGACAATAATGCATTGCATTCAAACGTATATGCTCGGGATTAAGATTATTCGTCGAATTCGGGGCTTGATCGGACTTGAATGGATAGGTTTTGTGTTTTTTTGCAGGAATTTTGCTGTGTATGTTTCTCATTTCGATTGTGGATATGGAAATTTGACGTTTTACATGATTTTCCACGGTTGCGTATTCTCTTATTATCTTCTATTTCGTTTCGATTTCGTGCGGATTTTGATGCGTCGGATTTGAGGCTCGATGTGGATTTCAGGATTTGGACGGTGAAGATACGTCCCCCCCCCCCCCGCCGACGAGTATGGCCGCCGCCCGATGCTTTGATTGCCGGGGAAGCTATTCGGAGATCGACGGATCCGTTTCCGGGACATGCTTCTCCTCTGCGGAGCAGGAATCGGATGAATGTGAGGATTCTGTGTTTCCGGTTCCAGGTTTGGTATTACCTCTGACGGCCCGGATTGATATAGGAAACGAATGTGCGGCCCTCCGTGAAATGGTGAGTAACCAGCAGAGGAGTATTGATGATTTGAACAAGGAGCTGGATGCGGAGAGGTATGCTTCCTCTTCGGCTGCAGATGAGGCCATGGCTATGATTCTGAGGCTTGAAAGAGAGAAGGCCGAGGTTCAGATGGAATTTACCCAATTCAAGAGGTTTACGGAGGAGAAAATGATTCATGACCAGCAGGAGTTGTTTTTACTGGAGGATCTCTTGTACAAGAGGGAACAAGCAATTCATGCTTTGACATGTGAGGTTCAGATGTATAAGCACAGAATGATGAGTCTAGGGTTCACTGAGTCTGAGGTTGAGGAAGAGATTGAGAAAGAGAGCAGTCGTTTCAGCTCGAATAATAGCGTTTCCGAGACTTCAAATGGGCAACTCGAAGTCCCTCTTTATGATTATCCTCCGCTAAAATGCTTGAACGAGAACCAAGTTTACTTTGAGGCCGATAACGAGGTTGTGGATGTTGAGAAATATGCATTTGGGGAAACTCCGCGCACCCATGACCATTTCTTGGATTTGGAGAGCAGGATCAACCAGCTTGAGAGGAGTCCAAGGATCAGTCATCCTGATGGTGATCAGTTCTATAGGAACAATGTTCTTGAAAAGGTGATAGTTGGTCAATCTCCAAGGAGGGCAAGGCATTTGAAGAAGTTTTCATCCGATAGTGCAGGGTCTTTCTGGGCAACGAATAACTATGATCCCATAACCGAGTCTCCAAAGTTTGGGGGAAGCTTTAGGAAGATGGAATTTCCGCAAAAAGAAGAGTTTTCAAACTTGAGGAAAGTGGAGAATGCATCGGAAGTTGAAGATTGTATGAGTGACAGGGTTTACACGATTGATTCCATCCATCTCGAAGCAGGAACTTATAATAATAATAAGGCATCTGTTGGAATATGTGAGGATTATATTAATACCCCAAGGGATTCATTGATATATACTAACACTGAAGATGTTGATATCAAGAAGTTGTATGCTAGGCTTCATGCACTTGAGGCCGATAGAGAGTCAATGAGGCAGGCACTGATATCAATGAGCACAGATAAATCACAAATGGTATTGCTAAAAGAGATTGCGCAACACCTGTGCAAGGACATGTCACGGCCAGAGAGAACGCTCACAAGGAAACCTTCCTCAGTTCGCAGCTTTTCTATCATGTCATTATTCAAGGTATTAACCATTGCCTATTTGTTTTGAACTTGTTGTCACTTTGTGTCTCATCCATTTTTTAATGTTATAAAGAGTGGAAAGTGGTAGTGCTAACTGGTATGTAATCCCTTAGAATATGCTCGTGTCGATTTCACATAAATTTCTCCATCTTTTCAGGGAAAAATAATTGGTTTAACCTTAACAAATCCATTGTATGTAGTACATATATTTGTTCAAAACTTATATTTGTTTATGTATATATTTCTACAGTTCTATCATATAAAGGCTTAGAAATGTTAGTATATGTTACTCTCTTTTTTTTCTTGTCAATTTTTGTTTTGTTTCATATTTTCCTAGGTGAAGGATAATGAAAGTATTTTTCTTGGCATTTTTTCCTTTTCACTACCATTTTCCATGTTCCAATCATAGCATTTTCTATTGGGTCAGCTAGCCGACTTCAATTCCAATCATTTGTCACTAAGGTTTGGTTGTTTCTTTTCTGTGCTGGATAACTTAATTTTCCACAAACGCATTTCATATCTGTGACTGATGGAACATTAGATAAATCATAAATATAGGTCGCAGTCTCTCTTTTAATGGCCTCACATGAGTTTAAACTTCTTCATCATACATCAGCAACTCAGTAAATGCAAATTTTGATGTGTGGGTTAGTTGTTGCATTTACTCATATTATCCTATGCAACATATGGTCTGATATATATTCTTCTCAGCAACAACTTATATTTTTAATTTGTGGTTTGCAGTGGATGTTTTCCTCTGTGCTATGGAGAAGAAAATCACGTCGATGCAAGTGAGTGGATCATTTACTACATTGATTTCTGAATTCATTGTGCT